CTGAGTATCAGCATGTTACTTCATATATGGGTTTAAATATACATTTCTTTTAAGAAAATAAAATCTCAAAATCAAACTTCTTAATGATACAAGGAATAGTGTTATTTAGACATATATGTTCTAGAGAAAAAAAGTAATGATTTGATGACTATAATAATTTGTAGGTTAACAAAATTCTTGTATATTTTTATGGACTAGAAACTGGTGGTCAATTTAACACCAGTTGAATTAAATTGGCATGGTGCTGAGTGTAGATGGCCCACCGGAGGAAAGTTGCCAGCATAAAAGGAGATGTGGAGATGGAGAACATGGAATTGCGTGATCTCCTAAGTGTTGTTGTTTGAAACTGTTGGTTGTCCTGGAGGAGACAGTGATGGCTGGCTTCCTCAATATGAATTTGGCCATTTTCATTGGAGGAGCTCCAGATCTTGTCACTGAGAGTGGCTGTGATGCACTTTGCAGGAGCTCTGGTTCTTACATTGAGCATCACTTCCTGGCTCCAGAGGGGAAGACAGGTGCTGTGTAACTTCCAGGAGGTTTGTCACTCTGGCTTCCTAATACGTACTTTACTGTTCCCATTGTCAAAGGAGCTTGAGACCTCATTGTCACTGAGGATGACTGGGGTACTTTTTAGGGGAGCTCTAGTCCTTATTTGGAGCATCACTGTTGGCTCCAGTAGATCCTCAATCTACTGGCACAGATCTTCCACCCCACTGGCATAGATTTTCTAGCTTCCACCGCTGACATTTGGGCCTTCCCACAACAAATCCCTAAAAAGACTTGCAAGAGTTATTGTTATGGGCTCTAGTCCTCCAGCTGGACTTGTGGGAGGCATTGTCATGGGCTCTAGGTATTCAGCTGGACTCGTGCAGGATATTACTGTGGGATCCAGGTCCTTGGTTGGATTTTCTAGATCTTTAGTGTTGGGGACAGATTTCCTGTACTTTCTTGCATTTAACTTTGGTTGACCATCATAAAATAATTTTGTTCATTCTGTGTCCTGTATGTAATGATTTGCTTGCAACCCCTGACTACAACATATATTACTCATATGTTTTAGTTTCCTTTTAGCCTTTATGTCCTACCTACTTTCTTGATCAATGACTTTAATATCACTTAGTAATGGAAATTATATATATATATATATATATATATATATATATATATATACACATATATAGCAAAATTTTGTAAAAAATTGTGAAAATCCTTTTATGATAAAAAATGTTGAGAATAAAATGAGTTGACTTGTAAAAAAAGAAGCATATCATTTATAGGCATTATTTGTAGTTGCAAATAATAAATTCTACAAGTTTTAAGACTGCAATGAAAATATAAATCTTGCACAGGTAGATTGAATATGCTTACTATCACTGTCAGGAAGCTGCAGAACAAAATCTCATTGAGATATTAACTTTCTTCAGTAGAAAAAACTCTCATCAAAAATAGTATGCGTAACAGTTGCTTGTGAAGATGTAGAAGCATTCACACATTGCTAAAAGAATATACATTTTACAGCCATTATTAAAAACATTACAGAGGGTCCTTAAAACTTCAAGGTTTATATTACAATTTGAATTACTCTAATATTTTGGTCAAAATATTTAAGTACTTTAAATCCATGCAGTATAGAGGTTGAAAATATTAAATGATATGAAATTGCAGGGCAAATAAAAATATATAACAACTTCCTATTTGAAATTAATTTTAGTTCTAAAATTAAGAATTCAGTAAATTGCCATAATACTATATAAAATGTAAAATCAAAATGAAGATGAAAAACACAAAGATCTAATTCCTGGTGAAACACATGATAAAAAAACATTCTACTCTAGGTTATAGTACAGTTTAATGTCTCTTGTTAGTGGAAAACAGATATTCTACTTTGACTATTAGATTTCTATTTCTTTTTTAAATGGCTAGGCTACCATATTAAAAGTTAGTAGTCCAGAGAGAGAATCTAAATTGCTTTTCAGTTTAATGATATCATGTTATGGATTGAGAACTGATGGTAAACTTAACACCAGCTGAATTACATCAGCATGCATTGAACAAAGATGCTCCACCTGAGGAGGGTTGCCAGGATAAACAGGTGTAGAAGAAGGCAGGTGTTGAGGGTTGAGGCATCAAGGAGGCATTGTGGGTTATCCTACGAGTTGCTGTCTGAGCTGTTGGTTCTCCTGGAGAAGCTTTGGTCCTCACATCGAGCATTGCTTCCTGGCTCCAGAGGGGAAGACATGTGCTGCTTGGTCTCCAGGATGAACTTGTCACGCTGGCTTCCTGACATGTACCCGACTGTGCTTGTCTTCGGAGGAGATTGGGGCCTCCATGTCACTGAGGACAGCTATGGTGCCTTTCAGGATAGCCCGGGTCTTTGCTGTGAGTGTGACTTCTTGGCTCTAGCCTAGAACCCTCAGCCCACTAGAACAGCTCCTTTATCCTGCTGGCATAGACTTTCTGGCTTCCACCTCTGACCTTTGGGTCTTCCTGGCACAGATCCATAAAAGAGACTGGCATGAGTCCTTCTTGTGGGCTCTGGAACTCCAGTTGGACTTGTGGGAGGCATTGTCCTGAGCTCTGGGTTTTTATCTGGACTCGTGTGGGACATTGCTGTGGGGTTTAGGCTCTTGACAAAATAATCTATGTCTTTGGTATTGCAGATAAATTTCCTGCATTTTCCTGTGTTAACTTCCAGGGACTATTATAGAAATATTATAAATTTCATGTCGTGATCCAATTGTTCTCTGTGTACAACCCCTGACTACAACATATCACTTATCACCCAATGTTCAAATTATTTCCATTTCTACACATGCCATTCTGTACATATGAAATGTGTAATTTTATAATCATATCTAAAATAAGATGCACATTCAGTTATATGTAGTCAACCTACTGACAAAATGTTCTCCATCTTGTTCACAGTACTTGAGAGCTGGAAACAACTTAAGTATAATTTGATGCAAGAATCAATAAAACAACAACAAAACAGTTTGTAAATATACTCAATGAAATATGCCCTGCCCTATAAGGAATTGACCTCTTGCCATTTGCCACATATAGGACAAACTGAAAGAAATCATACTGAGTAAAAGAAGCCACATACAAAGCAAAATTTTACAATGACTCATTTATGTGAATATTTTAAATTGCAATAATGCATACAAAAATAGAGATAAAATATTTGAAAAATTATTAAAGCTAGCTGGTGTAGAATAAAATGGGGATGTGTAACTTAACACCAAAATAGCAGATATACAAATTAATCTAGAGATTTAATGTTCACAAAGAGGATGATTTTCCAGTATATGGAATTCATTTGTCATTACCTTTTTTATTCTTTGGGAAACAAATCCCAGTACTCACAGTTTAAAGGAGGAAAGGTACATTTTGCTTCACGTTTTAGTTCAAAGTTGTGGGCTCCCAAGAGGAAAGTCTGGTGGAAGAATCTGCCTGAGAGAAATTCTATATGTCATGGTAGCCAGGAGCAGAGACAGGAGAAGACTGAACTTTCAGAGCATGCCGCTAACTCCCCGTGTCCTCAGACCCGAGCCCTCTCCCTGATAGCAAGTCCCCGGGGTCCCTGGTAACTCAGTCATCTAAACCAATTCAGTCACTTAACATGACAACATGAGGCTCTGTGGGAATGATCAGGTCAGAAGCACCTCATCCAAATGAGTGTACATTAGCTGGTCTGCCCCCAAAACAAAGAAGCGGTAAATATGTGTTATGATCAGTATGCCCATTATTTCTATTAAAAATATTTTTACTATATGCTGTGTAACTTAAATATAAACATGAAAACTAAATTTTAAAAACAATATATTCTTATTGAAAAAAATTGACCCAGCCTCTAAAGCAACTCATTACCTCAGACTGTTTATACACCTGTACTTCAATGTCACTCAAAATCACTTCCACGTAGAAAAAGTCACCTGTCATAAGCCATCAGTACCTAACTACATTTAAAAGTCTTCTGTTAAAGAAAATGTACCAAAATAAAACAGCAACTTTGAAGCAGAATAATATCTTTGAAGCTCAGATTTTTAGCACAGTGTGATTCCTTAGAGAAAGGTGTTGTCTGTAATATTTTATTTTATACTTACTAAATTTCCCTTGTCTGTTTAGAAACACAGGTAGATTTAATGGGTTTCCAATGATTCTAGATTGCACACAATGAAACCTAACTAAAAAATCTATATCTATGTATTTATATCTATATCTCAAGTGAATGTATCAAAATTAAATAATACCAAGTTTGTGTAATATTGGAAAAAATAATCTTACTGTAAAACATTCAAAAAACTGGCATTTAAATGGAGTGAACACATTTTTCCACAATATCAGTACCTATATATAACCACATGTGTCATTGTATTCCCAAGAAAGTCAGAATAAAAATAAAGCATTGTGTGAAGGCAGGCTCATGTGTAACATTTTAATGCTGACTTTCATATGCCATATTTCATCCAGGCCTTGGTCCCGAATTACGTCTTTACCAATTTACAGAGCCCACACATCTTGAGCTATAACATTAAGTGAAATAAATCAAACAGAGAAACTTAAGTATCTCGTGATTTCTCTTTAAGAAGAAACTTACAATATAAATACTTTCATCAACAACAAAAATGGTAGGAAATGTGGAGGTAGACTCTGCAGATGGAAAAGATGAGGGGAAAGAGGAAGAATGGAGTGGGGAGGGATGTAAACAGCAAAATGAAATTGTACCTCGGCCAGTTTCCCCAAAAGGAATGTAACTATTATGTACCATGAATGTATACAAATAAAAATAAACAAATAAATAAAATCAGCATCAAATAAGAAGAAAAAAATGAGTACCAGGTACCTGGGTGCTGGTGTTTCACCCACAGCTGTCTTTCCCAAGCTCAGATGCACTGAAACCTCAACTCTGCTCTCCTCCTCAAGCATGTGTGTCATTGTGACCTGCCCACCCCCAGCTTGCAGTGTCATATTTCACGCTCCATAGAGGAGGGAATGCTCTTCTACTGAGACATAAGAAGAATGCAGATATTTTGCCATGAGTACAGGAGAACTAAAGGGAAGATGGAGACACTAGGCTTGGTGAGTAAGAGAGACAGACTGGAGGACTCCTTGCCTGTCTCTTATGCATGTGAGCAAAAGCATTCTGCCATGCAGTCTGTGATTATACTGTAATTTGCTTGACATTTCCAACTCCAAGATACATTAGGCAAAAGTATTTGGACATTCACTTTTGTGGGTGAGGAGTGTTATTTTTCTTTATGTAGTTATAGTTCTTGGTTGGCATTGGTAAACAGTGTGTAGTGTTCTGTTGGACAAAACATCTCCCATTTTTAAAATTGTGTATTTTTTTAGAGTTTAATGAAGATATGACTTTGAATAGAAATACTAGCCTTTTGTTAAACCTATATGATCAACTTTAAAGAAATGTAGCAAAAATGTATTTCTTTCAATGAAGATTATTTATAGGATAATACATTATCAAAAATGAAATCAATCAATAGGACAATGTTACAACAAGTACAGTTTGTTCTTGGATAGATCCTACAACTTTGTTTTCTCTCACTAATATATTATTTCATTATTCAAATATAACTTGTTTCATATATAATGCTTGAGGCTTCCGGTTTTAAATTCAAAATGTTTAATACATGCAGATTAAAACCACTTAAAATGATGCTTAAATTAACAACCTGAGGGAATACATAGTTTGTCTGTTTTACATTTGATAAATGTAGAAATAATATCACAGAGAATAATTTATTATATGTAATTTCAACCATCTTTTAAAACATAATTTGATTTAAATAAGAACTGAAGAAACCTCTTTGGCATTAATATAATGCATTGTAAATCTCTTCCCGTTTGTGGAAATGAGCAATTAGAGAATACAGAAAATTTATGACATTAATAGGAAAGAAAATTCCATATTTGCTTTCAAATTAAACTGAAAGAAGTTCTAAAAGAAGGCTGACATCTGTTTGCTCTTTCTGGAATTTAAACCATGGATCTCTGCAGGGGGCTTGGTGTTCAGTTTATGTAGTTAAGATTCCCTTGATTCAGAATTGCTGTGTTACCAAGCTAAAGCTCCTCCTGGGTGTTAAAAGAGTGAAAATGTGGCAAATAGCTATGAAGAAAGTCAAAAGCTTAAGATAAAATAAAAATGAAAACAAGACTCCAGAAGTTCTGAAAATATAGTGCAATCCTAGACATTTACCCTTCCTTTTTTTTTTTTTTTTTTTTTTTTTTTTTTTTTTTTTTTTTTCCTTTTTATCGGTACCAGGGATCGAAGTCATGACTGCCTGCTTGCAAGGCAGGCACTTATGCCACTGAGCTAAATCCCCAGCCCCTACCCTTCCTTTTTATTCTCCAATGGTACAACAGCAATTGAGAAGTTCTGAGTTGTTTTCTAAAATTATTCTTTGACTCCTTTCTAAAGAGGTTTACAAGCTGAACTAATAGTAAAAGTTACTGTTTCCAGGGTTAAGTCAATTATATAGAGAAGTACTGTAAATTACTTATAAACATATAAATATATAGGTAGTGACTTTATAGTTAACCCAGTTGCAATGATAATTTAATGCCTTAATTGATTAGTGCTAATTTAATGTTTTTTTTTAATTATTTGAAACCTTTATGGGCATTATTGTTTCAATTTATCAGATTCACTATTTAATAATTTATATTTTCATTTTGCATAAACCATCATTTTCCAAGTTTATATTTGCTGCTTCAGAATATCTTCTCACATTTGTCTGTTTATTTTGTTTTGATTTTTTGAATTTGGTTCTCACTATGCAGCTCAGGCTGGCCTTGACCGGGGACTTATCCTAATCCTCCTGTCTCAGCTTTCTGAGTGCTGGGTTTATAGGCACACACTGTCATGCCTGGCTTGAGCTCACATTTTAAAGTTTAGTTACCAGACATTAATCAGAAAAGGGTGAATAAATAGCAAGTATCTAATTTGAGGAATAATAATAACCATAAAATATTATAATGATTAAGTATTAAAGGAAGTTTTTTTGAACTATCACTTTAAATTTTGCTTTTTCTTCATAATTACAAAACATTTTACAGTGTAAGTAAATATATAGCACATGATATTTAATCAACTAATTTATTTACATACTTATTTTTTGAGACAAGTTTTCACTTTGCACTTCATCTGGGCTTGAACTCACACTGTAACCCAAAGTGGCTTCAAACTCACAGTGATCCTCCTGTCTAATCCTCCTGAGTGATGGGATTACAGTTGTGAACCACCACACTCAGTTGTAAATATTTTAAATAAACAGTATTCTATGTGAAAAGTGTATATTATCCCTCAAATGGGTCTCTTTTTTTAAACTGAACATTCAAAAACCGTATTTAAATGATAGCAGTAGAGCTGTCACTCATATTCTAAGAACATCAGTACTTTGTGAACAATTCTCTATATTTCACTTCAAATTAAATGCTTTCTTAGAGCCGGGGATTTAGCTCAGTGGCGTAAGGTGTACACAGTTTGACTCAATTTTTTTTTTCCAAAAATGTAGTTTTTTTTTACCATCTAAGGCTTTTCTTATGAAGTACATGGAATCTCTTATTGATTGAGATACTTAACACTTTGAAACTAATAAAATTATGTATTGACTTTTCAGCATGTTTCATAAGAGAATGCATTTATAAATACTTTTGTTGTGAAAAGTGTGTTTTATTTGAGATTTAGAAATAGAATGACTATTCCAATTATGTCTGGAACCTATCATTTTGGCTCTTGAATTGCCTAATGATTTCTATTCATTACATCACAAGGAGTCATTGACAATGTACCTCTTTTTACATTTAAACTTGCTATTTTCTTTACGTCCTTTAATTGTTGTGTGGAATAAATTGGGTGCCTAATCTGTTCATTAGTTCTCTTTCAGTGAGCATATCAAAAGCATATTTTAGCTCTTTTAGAAACTAGATCATTTCTAAACTTAAATTACTCATTAAAATTGATGAATGCTACATTAAATATATATATATATATATATATATATATATATATTTTTTTTTTTTTTTTTTTTTTTTTTTTTTTTGTATTTTTACCGGTACCAGGGATTGAACTCATGACCACAGGCTTGCAAGGCAGGCACTTATGCTGCTGAGCTAAATCCCCAGCCCCTATTTTAAAAATATTCTAAATGAAATAATATTACCTTAAATCCCCTGATGGGTAGAAGAAAAATGGCAAACATTCACCATGTATTTAAATACTGTGGAATTAAAAAGTCACAAATAATGTGGAATTAAAAAGTAAGGCTTTTTGATGTGGGCAATCAAATCTAGATGTCACAAAATACACAGAAATGGCAAATATGATTATTGTTTACTCTGGATGTTGATAGTCACCTGAACTTGAGGAGGACTGTTACTACCCTTGGAAGTTTTAGAAGGTATGTGAAAGTTACTTTAACTAAGCTCTTTTTCTATAACTAAGTCAAAAATACCTTCATCTGTTTTTCTAAACAAGAGGCTGTTTTGATTTCAATAAAACTTTAGAAGAGATATTCCTGAACATTTAGAGATTCTGCTTTAAATTACTATTTTTAAATGTTAACATTGAAAAATTAAACTTGTGTGAACTCTTTAGGATATATTAATCCCAAAGTTCCATTACAATTCAGAGTGATATGCTGATGAAGTTTTGAGGAGTAACATTTCACAGAAAAATACACTATGCATCTGAAGATATTATTCTGAGTGGCTTACATTCTCTGGACATAAATAACATGGAAACTCACTGTCCTAATAAGTAAAATCAGCTTACTAAGATATATTTAAAATTATTTACATTCATTAGCTTTTTCTTGTAAATACCAAATGCTGAAATCTTCTATCAGAATCCATCTTGAAGTAAAAAAGGATCATATTTTTTTTTTTATTTTTTTACTGATTCTAAAATTGAACACATGTTTAGACTACGGTAAGATACTTCAACACAGAGTTAATCACCTTTAGATAATTAGCATTTTCCCATCCTTCTCCATGCCTTGAAACCTTCAAGCTCCCTTCCTCTAACTTTGCATGAAATCCGCAGTTGGTCAGTGTGAACCAGTGCAGCCTACCGTGGCATGACCGCTAGCTCTCTCTTCCTTTGTGTTCTGGTGCTCTTTACCCAGCTTCCCTTTTGCCCCTCGACCCCTGCCCTATCACTTTCTAGTAATCATTATTATACATTTAGATCAATTATTTTGATCAGAGAAAGGGAAGATGTAGTTTTTAAAATCTTTTTAGCTTATTTCATTTAACATGCTGTTCTCTAATTCCATCAGTTTTCTCACATAGACACTTTTGTTCTTTTTTGAAACAGATTGTATTTTTTATGAATTATGATTTTTTAAATGATTCTGCCCCCTAAATTTTGAATCCTTTACAACAGAATAATCATATTTTCACATTTTAAAGGCTAACAAATTACAAATAAGAAAAATGAGTGCATTACATACCTCTTGAGTTGAAACATTTGTCTTTAATTACTCAAACTAAAAGATAAGAAAAAATGAATTTATTTAAAAGGTGAGTTGATTATATTTAATAATACAGTTACCATAGTATTTATTTTTGTGGTAGAATTCTGAGGAAAGCTTTAAGCCAATTTGTGATAAAAATATAAAGTTTTAATATTATAGTTTTTCCTTGAGATTAACTTAAATGTACTTAAGCTTTAAAAGTGCTAGGAAGAATAAATTATTTTTTCTAATTGTTCTCTTAGTTTATTGAATACGTTTTCTACTATCTTAAGAAAATGCATATTATACCCATTAACATTTTCACTGGTGCTAATTATTTCACTGGTGCTATTATTGCTTTCACAATCCCTTTTCCACTGACACTTTGTGTTGGGATCTTCTACAAACCTGAGGAGCTATTTTTTTCTCTCCTGTATGAAGCTCTGAGTTTTAAAATGATTATTTTAAGCACTTTGAAATTATAAAGAGAATCATGTTACACTAGATCACCATGTATTACACAAATTTGGAAGCTGTCTATAATTTTCTTTTCTGATACAAAAATTACCCTAGACATTAGTGTAGATTGCCCTTTTTGGAGACAGG